TGTATGTCTGTCTGTCTGTCTGTCTGTCTTTCTGTCTGTCTGTCTGTCTGTCTGTCTGTCTGTCTGTCTGTCTGTGTCTGTCTGTCTTTCTGTCTGTCTGTCTGTCTGTCTGTCTGTCTTATGTATGTCTGTCTGTCTGTCTGTCTGTCTGTCTGTCTGTCTGTCTGTCTGTCTGTTGTCTGTCGTCTGTCTGTCTGTCTGTATCTGTCTCTGTATCTGTCTGTTGTATGTATGTCTGTATGTGTATGTCTGTATGTCTGTATGTATGTACAATTACAATTACCAAATTACTATTAGACTAAAATATTCAAGTTTATCCCGATAGCTTTATTATTCAAAGAAATATATGCGTTTAAGTGATTTTCGTAAGTGGACCCTCTATGGGAGCCTATCCTGAAAAAATTTCGTAGAGTGATTCATATAAAGACAAAACATATTTGTGTCGAATTTTACCAAGATAACTTTATTTGACAATGAAATATGTGCCTTTAAGTGATTTTAAGAAGTGGGACTTATATCGGAGCTATAACCAATATGGACCGATCCAGGAAAAAGTGGTAGAATGATTTATATGTACACAAAACATATTTGTGTCGAATTTTATCCTTATAGCTTTAGAATTAATGAAATATATGCGTTTAAGTGAGTTTCGGAAGTGGACCTTATATTGGAGCTATGACCAATTATGAGCCTATCCGGAAAAAATTTCGTAGAGTGACTCATATAAAGACAAAATATATTTGTGTCGAAGTTTATCAAGATAGCTTTATTTGATAATGAGATATGTGCTTTTAAGCGATATTCGGAAGTGGGCCTTATATGGGAGCTATGACCAATAATGGACCGATCCGTAAAAAAATGTAGAATGATTTGTATGTATACAAAACATATTGTTGTCGAATTTTATCCCGATAGCTTTAGAATTCAATGAAATATATGCGTTTAAGTGATTTCGGAATGGACCTTATATGGGAGCTATGACCAATTATGGGTCCATGCGGAAAAAATTTAGTAGAGTTATTCATATTTAGACAAAATATATTTATGTCGAATTTTATTACGATAACTTTATTTGGCAATGAAATATGTGTTTTTAAGTGATTTTCGGAAGTGTTTAATTGCGCGGAAATTTTGTTTTCTATTTCTACAATTTTAACAGTTTTCATTAAAAATATTTATGATATACATGCATAACATTTAAGGTGAATTTTAATGATATAAACAATTACTCTTTTAATTATAAATTAAAATTATTTTGTTATCCTGAAGATTAAATTAATACCTATGTAAATAAATGATTTTTTTTGTGCATCTGGCAACCTCGAAATTGTATATTTTGACAGTTGTATACAACTTTCATTAAAAAAATAACAATCTGATGTTGAATTGATTTCACCTTATAACTGCTCACATATCTTTATATAATTTTAAATTCTTGCGCAAAATAGTCTTTATGTTGTCAAAATGTTGAAATAAGCCAAAAAAATACCTTAACTGGTTAAATCGAGGACATTGAAATATTGTTAATGATCATTGATCATATTGGTGATCATTCGTGTCCGGGAATTTACATATGTATTTCACAATTTGCTGAAAGACTCACATTTATAAAGTTAAGATAAATTTTGTTGTGTCTATTTATTGTCTTGACATCCTCTGGTATTAGATGTTTGCTCTAAAAAAAATTGCTTTGGCGAGATATACATATGTAGGTGTTTACTTCTTTAAACAATTTTCCTTTTTCAAGAAAAATATGCTCAAATTCATCCTTTTGCATAGTTGCTCTCTAACATTACGTATCGCTTCAAGAGTCATTTTATCTGCAATTTAATGAAACTAATTCCAACATGTCAAGGGGGTCCATACGACCTCAATAACCTCCAATGAAGAATTTTCTATTATATTGTGAATTTAAGCAACATAATAACAATCTTTTCCAACATAAAAATAAGCTTTTCCAGTTGTAGTAATTGACAACTAACAAGGCTGTCAGTGAAAATTTTACCGCTTAGGGCCTATAGGCTAGGTTATTGAATATTGTTAAATATAAATAATATTAAAATTAAATTAAATAATGTTGTACACCTTATTAATCATCTTATCTTGATTGAATTTGCTATGATTATATCGTGAATATAGAATAATTTTTATGTTTATTACTTATTCATACTTTTACACATAAATGTGTAGTTGTATTTACAAATCAAATTCTATTTAGGGTTACAAAATACAAAATTTTATCGATTTAAAAAATATTTATTGTTTTATTTTCGCAACAGATCATAAACCCACCAGACCAAATTCCCAGAGATCAAGAAGTCCTTTAATTAATGATATGCCTAATAACTCTGCTATGGAGCCGAGATTTCCCAGCCCCGGCTTAAACTTCACACCAGGTGGCACGTCCGGGCCCAACTCCCAGAATATACCCAACAGTTTTTAAAAATCAAAATTCAAGCATAGAGGTAAATATAACTTTTTGATCACAATATAATTAAGAAGCACAAGATTTTGAAATTTAAAAAATATTTTGTACATAAATTATTCATAATTGAAAAATTCAATAGTTCAAAAATATTATACGAATGTACTCGGATAAATTTGTCAAATAATAATTATAATGTGAGAAGGATACACATACAAACATATGTATTTAAGTTTGAAATTTTATTTGTAATACTCACAATATAATTTTCCGACTCTATATATTATTTATATTTTGGGTCCTTCTAGGTGGCAGAGTCCATTACGACCGCCTGTTTGCCTGTCGAAATCAATTGTCTGAAGACCCCAGATATCTTCGGGATCTAAATCAGCAATAATTCTATTAGGCATGCTTTCGAGAAGTTTGCTATTTACGAAAAATACGAAAATTAATTGCGATCATTTATCAGAAATAAAAAAAATTCCCTTTCAAATGGGGTGAAAGCTAAAGTTTTTATATTAGAGATTTCTTATGTACACATGTATATTCCTAAAGACGTCATTCTTTTTATTAATATTTTCAATGTACATTGGTCGAATACGCAATCTTGCGTCATTGCTTTCCAAAATGCATAAACTGCAAAACAACCCAGCAAAAACTTACATTGAAAAGTAAGTGGTTAATCTACGTTTCTTTGTGTCTTCACGGGAGCTGTTTTTCAGAAATTTTCGTAAAATCTTCATTAATAATGAAAAATGCGTTGTTGGAATTTAATTGGGTTCAGAATGTAGGCGTTACACCTCCTAGTGACTGACAGTATCAGAACATTGCAAGAAATAACAAAATAATTATTTAATTTAGTAGAAAAAAATGGGCGGGATCTGAATAGTGGGCGTGGCATAGCCTATTATACAAAAGTAAATATTTATTAACGAATATTTAAAATTGTTAACTGTTAAACCGTGAAACATCTTAAAAAATTTATATAATCAAGCGAAATATATATTGTGGGTGTTGCAATTCCCCTAAATAGTAACTATTTTATTATACCTTTTCATGTTAAAATAACGCCACTAACACTTATTATTTTTACAGTTTTAAGTTGTTATTTAAGAGTTAGCGTGTTAAAATAGTGGGCGTGTCGCTTAAATTAACCAAAAACGGGCAATAGCGGGCAGACCATATTTGAAGTTTCACAATAACAAATCAAATTTTTAAATAGGGTTAAAATTATACCGAATTCGGTCGAATCCCGAATGTTAACATAGGGCTCTTCAAATGTTTTGCAACAGAGGGTAACTTCTTTAATTTAAGAAAATTAGTTTGTAAATTTTTATTTAATTTTTCGTTGCAAGTATTTATTTGGAAATTAAAGGAATGTTACCTTATTTTTTGGAAATTAAAGGTCTGTTACCTTATGAAACTTTACATTTAGTATGGTTTGCTAATATTTTGCCAGGTGTATTTCAAAAGAATGTATTTTAAATGTAGGAAAACGTATCTTCATATTTTAACTATTGGATTTTTTAGTGTTAAATTTTATTTGCAAAGTAATATTTTTCAACATGATTACAAATTTAACCTATTTCTTTTCATTGATTTTTTATCGTCCTTTTCAGCAGCGACAAAACCTGCAACAAATGCCGCCACAATTTTGTCGACGTAACGATAATATGCCTTTAAATCCTAATAGTAATCGAAGTAATCAAACTAAAATGTCAAATTCGTTTGATCCCATATCATCTCTGGCCCAAATGTCACAGCAACTAACGGGAGGCGGTGTTGGTCTCAGTTCTGGAGGAGTGGGAAATTCACCGAATAATATGTCCGGCTTAATGGGTGGTCCGGGTGGTGTTAACGATATAAATATGAATGGCCTAATGGGAGGCCCAATGATGGGTGGCCCAGTTGATCCAAACATGGACCATTGTAATCAAAATCCCAATGGCGGTGGTGGGAATATGGGCATGTCCGGCCTTGGAGGTGGACCCGGATCCGTACCTGGGCCTTTTGGTCCAGGTAATTGCAATATGATGGGTGGCAATCCTGGACCGATTTGCCAGCGATTGCTAAACCCAAAAATGTGTGGACCTAATTTGTCGGGCGGTTTTAATCCAAATCAAGTTGGAGGTATGGGTATGAGGGATGTGCCTTCAGGCTTCCCTGGCATGATGCCTTCGCACCGAATGATGAATCACCGTATGTCAGCAAATTTTGGAAATTTTAATGTTTCTCCTAACATACAGGTTAAAGCAAGTACCCCCAATACCATACAGTATATGCCAGTAAGGCCCCAAAACAATAATAATAACAATAATATGCGAGTACCTCCTAGTCTGGAATTTCTTCAACGTTATGCTAACCCCCAAATGATGGGAAATTCAGGAGGTGGTGGTGGTGGAGGACCTGGAGTTGGTCCTGGCTCATCACCTTCCGATATGCCTGCCATGAATGGTCCAAGTGATTTAAATAAAATGCCAAATACAAATAATAATATGGGAGTAAATGCCATGAATCAGATGAATTTTTTTGGAAATTGTAATCAAATGTCAGGTATGGGTGGCATGGGTCAACCTGTAGGTGGTGGGGGCGATCAAGATGAATTGCAAGGAGGAGGTGGAATGATGGCTAATCATGATCCTATGAATTTACCAGGTCCTCATGCACCAATGCTTAGGGGCATGAGGCCTATGCGTCAGGGTGGATTGCAGTCAGGCGTTGGAATGAATTCTGGATCACGCATGCAACATCCTGGCATGGGCAATATTCCCCCTAATGGTATAGGCAACAATCCATTTCCTGGCGCCGACAACGAATCGTTAGACTGTAATGATCCTTCTAATGGTATGTTCAACAATGCTGCAGCTGCTGGCCTATATCAACAGAAGAATAATAAACCCCCAACCATGGGAATGTCGCACGGTCCACCCAACCTTAACCCAAACAATGGTAACAACGGTCCCTTACCAAACAGCAACGTTATAAATGATCAAAACCCTGCTTCCAACCCCATGCAAAATTCTGTTATGATGGGACCTAACAATTCCATGTTGAACAGCAATATACCCAACAGTAACAACGGTCCTGGTGGACCTCTTTCGGGATCTGGAAATATGGGATATAAGCCATTTGTTGGTCCAACATCTAATGACTTGAAATATGCTCAACAATATCATAGTTTCCAGCAGCAACTGTATGCTACTTCTACACGAAATCAACAGCCGGGAGGTGGTCAACAGCAACCCCCAAATGCAATGTCACCCAATAGTAATCCAAACGCCGGATTTTTTGTTAATAAATAAATTTGCTCTAAGCCCTTAAAACCATGTTAATATTAGCATTTAAAAAAAAAATAAAACAATTGTTTTGAACAATTAATATGAATTCAACGCTTATCGATTTTTATGTATTTTTAAAAGGGATATTTTACAGAATAACTGGTAATATTTTGTCCGATTTTGGAAACAATTTTCGTATAGTCTTAAAAAGGATTCGCATACAATTTAATTTTGCGACCCTATTTAGCGCTCTATGATTGTCAAAAGAAATTTTCGGAAATATTAGTTATCTAAGGTTTCAAACCATACCTATTTACAGTTCCATCCTTAGCCCATTCGTTCCCACTGTACTCGCTTGGGTACAAAAAAACAACCGGTTTTATAATGCTAGATTATCCATATTACTGAGTTTTTTGTAAAATTTGATTTTTGGAACATTACTTTAGGATCTAAAGAGTAAATGTACCGAATTATAAAGTCATAAAAACATAACGGTAAATTTTAAATAATTTTTTTGTCAACAGAGTTTTGAAAAACCCTTTCATTGCAATTTGATGTCAAACTCATTCATTTTGAGTTAAATGGATTAGAATTTTACAGAAAAATAAAAAATCCTAAAGCCCATTAGGATTTTGTTAAAAAAGAATTAGATTTTAAGTTAATTTTTATAAGCTTAAATATTGGTGTACTCGCTTGGGTACAATGGCACCATGCCTATTTTTTCATATAACTTAATTATCTATTAAGAATGTTTATGTCCTTTTTGGTAAATATTTTAGAAGGCTTGTAGGTGCTACTGATTATCTTTATAATAAATCAGTTCACATTTAGATTTTTTCATTATTTTTCCAAATACATATTGCCAAGAAATTGATGAAAAAGGAATTGATAAATACATTTAATTACTGGAGGATCTACCAGACAACACTTTTGGTGAATGGGAAGTGTATGATAGTAGTGTCAGTGAAGAATACATCCCATATGATGAATTTTAATTAATTTACTTTAGCACAAATATCAATAAAGTGTCGAAAAAGTGCACTGAATGCGGTAACTCACAGAGAATTTCAATACATTTCATAATTAATCTAATGGAAAAGTTCTCAATACTAATTGATTCGATCTTTTATGTAGGAAAGTACCAAAATATTAAAAAAAAATAATAAAAATTGGTTTTAATTTTTTTATTTATTTGTATTTATACCCATATTGTCCCGCTGTACCCATCCTAGTACAGCCCAAAAATCGCATTTCCAAAATTTAAAAATTTTTTGTTTTTAAATTGTATTTTAAATTAACCCATAATAAGATATATTTTGCAACAAAAAATTTAAATTTATTGATTTTAAGATGTTGGGGTTGTACTCTCAACAAAACATTTCAGACTTCATTCAAAATAGATGTTAGGAAATAAAAATTTCGTATATTAGCTCTAAATAAGTAAATTTGTCATTGAATGTTAATTAAATTTGTCATTGAATGTTAATTTCATAATAAAGAACAACTATGTATATGTATGTATTTGCGTTTGAGGTATATGTATTAAAGTATGTCCGTCTGTCTGTCTGGTGAAAACAGGTTCAGAACTATGTAATACAATATAATTATTCTCCTATGCTGTTTGGTATTGGAAATCAGCAAAAAGTTAAGCTATTGTAAATTCTCAATGTATCTGCAATATTCTTATATTGATGAAAAATTATTAAGAAATGGGTCATTATTATTTATCGATTCTCACTCGTTTTCTTGTTCAATTTTATAAAAAGTTAAAAAGAAATTCAAAATCACCATTTTAATATTATGAGAAGTACATCACATCGTCAATAGATTTTCCTTCAGTCAGAACGGTGCACATTGTCAGATTTTGCAATTTTAGGGGAAATTATTAAACATAATGCTACGAAAACCTCAATATGCTTTATTATTTTTTATTTTGGACCAGAAAGGCACATAAGGGGAAAAACGGGTAGGTTAGGTAGGAAGGGTAGCCACTAAAAACAAGTTTAAGTGGCTCACGTGGGTCCGTCTTATTTCGTTCCCGTTGTGATGCCCTATTGGTCATAGGAGTCTTTTCCTATAAGAACTACTCACTACTTAAAAGAGCCGGTTCGATTCACGAAATTTAGGGTATTTTTTAAATTTATCCCGGATGTATCCTCCAAACAAGAGAGAACAGCAGATCCAAAATAAAGTTCCCTGTTCCCATTAAATGTCGGACAGTAACAGAGTAGATGAGGTATAGTCTCCTTCTCCTCCTCATTGTGACAACTTCTGCAGTAGTCATTGTATCAGAGACCCATTCTTCTTCTGATTGCCAATAACACAGTGTCCCGTTATTACTGATAGCAGCGTTCTAATTTGCTCTCTGCGAAAGCTTAACAGTAAGCTAGACTTAGGGTCATCATATAGAGGCCAGGTTGACTACGAGATTAAACAGGTGGTTTCACTAAACCATCTGATCTGAGCCATTTCATATAGTTCATTTTGAACAAGTGCCTTACAGTGAAAGCGTCGCACAATGCTTTGTCCCCATACAACGAATCGGCAAAAATAGACGGGAGATCGCAGGAGAATGAAATTTTGTAGGGTAGTGTCTGATGGTTTGATTAAGTAAAATTTTTAATTTAAAAAAAACCGGAGCAGGGACACGCCTACCTCCCATACAACCTAAATCGTAAACACGTGTTGGTGACTACATTGTTCATCAAAATATATTGAAAATTGGAAAATATGTCTTTGGTAGCACTATTAATAAAAATCCTGAATTTTAATAAAATCGGAGCAGGGACACGCCCACCTCCCATACAACCTAAGTCGTAAAAACGTGTTTGTGACTACATTTTTCATCAAAATATATTAAAAAATAGAATATATGTGTTTTATAGCACTATTAACAAAAATCCTGAATTTCAAAAATATCGGTGCAAGGACACTCCCACCCCCCATACAACATATATCGTAAAAACATGTTTGTGACTAAATTTTTTATCAAAATGTATTAAAATTTGAAATATATGTCTTTGATAGCACTATTAACAAAAATCCTGAATTTCAAAATAATCGATGCTAGGGCATTCCCACCCCCTATACAACCTATATCGTAAAAACGTTTTTCTTTTTCAAAATTGAAATATATGTGTTTGATTAACGTGCTTTATACTAAATTTTTCATCAGAATGTGTTAAAAATTGACATATGGGCAATTCCATACGATTGTATGTGACATTCGCACGGCTTCAGAGTGGTATAGATTTAGTAAAATTAGGAGTACTTGCAAAACAATTTTGTCATTCTGTTCCATTTATAGAATACTATATTTGCAAAAGGAATCATCCCATTCGGAACCTTGTTTTCCAAAATATGGATTAAAATATGGCGATATCATACGTGACAAAAAACGGAAGTGTTTTTAAAGTACATGTAAATATTTACGAAAATCTTCGAATTCTGTATGTGTATCTTTTTTGTTTTAATTTCTTACACCATTTTCATTAGTAATCCATAATTTTTAAATAAAAAAAGAAATTAATATAATTTTATAATGAACATATTTAAATATCGTACGTGACACATCGTATGTGAGCGATTTTTCTCCTGATTTTTTTTTTAGGTTATAAAATATATATTTTGGAAATATATGTATACACACACTTCAACAAATCAAAAGGAGTAGGAAGTGCAGTCGGACATGGCCGACCTATATACATGTTTAAGCAATTTATAGATAAAAATACAAAACTGGAGTTATATGGCGACTAGGGTCAAATATGAACCGATCCTCATAAAATTCTAGGGTGTGATTATAATTCATATAAAACTTATTTATGCCAAATTTTATCATAATACTAGTGATTAGAGGTGAGTTACGGACGTTTAAGTGTTTTTTTGAAATTAAACTTTGAATGGAACTAGGGTCAAATGAGGTCCAATCGTTATGAAAATCGGCATAAAGGTTTAGGCTTATAAACATTTTAGATCTGCCGATTTTTGAAGGGATAGTATTATAATTAACAGAAAAATTTGCAACAGTCTTCGTCTTTGGCGCTACAAAAGATCATATACCAAATTTTGTTGAATTATCTTCAAAATTGTAGAAGTTATAAGGGTTTTATTTTTTCAGTCGTGGTTTACCTTTTCATGGAATTGCCCATATCGCACAAAAATGACACAACTCAAAATTTAATTTTTGCGTTTTTATATTCTTTAAGCCTTTAAGCCTTAAACTATACTCAAGATACTTGTTTAACTCTACAAAAATATAAGTGTATTTTGTTGTTGTTAACTGTTCAAGAAAAAATTTTATGTCTTTCTTTATCTTTCAGAATTTGTAAAAAATTTGTTTCTTTTTCTTAAAAAAAAAATTTTTGACTTGTGTCACTTTTGTACTGGGTGTGCGATATGTTATAGTGAATATACTATAAAACTTGAAGCAAAATGTTCTAATAGCTTCAAGGATTCCTTATACTCCGATATATCCTTTTAATTAACTAACTATAAAACGTAACGTTTTTGCTTGTACTTGGCTCCTAAATATGTTTATTCTTTATTTTTAATACATCTATATATATAAAAATGAAAGTGTGTTTGTATGTATGTATGTATGTATGTATGTATGTATGTATGTATGTATGTATGTATGTATGTATGTATGTATGTATGTATGTATGTATGTATGTATGTATGTATGTATGTATGTATGTATGTATGTATGTATGTATGTATGTATGTATGTATGTATGTATGTATGTATGTATGTCTGTATGTATGTCTGTGTGTGTGTATGTATGTATGTCTGTATGTATGTATGTATGTATGTATGTATGTATGTATGTATGTATGTATGTATGTTTGTTTGTTTGTTTGTGCTTTATAGACTGCTAAATGGCTGGACCCATTTTCCTGAAATTTTCACAGTTTCTTCCTGTATTTCTGGAAGGAACTATAGGCTACTTTTTATGTTGAAACTATCTAAAACCCGGCGTGCTTTGCTACTCCTGTCGATATAAAATAAAAAATTTTCAAAATATATTGATATGCGTTTTTTGTTTATAAAAATTTTATTAATATTTGTTTGTCACTATCGAAAACCATAAAGTAATGAGACAAAGAAA